TTGGAAAAAGCTAGAAGAAAATAGATATTCATCAACAGTCAGAGCAATTGAAAAGTTAAATTAACTGAGATTGTGATGAACAAGGCTCATGATGAGGGGTGGGGGGAGGGGTCATTAACAGCAATTGCTTATTTTAAGGGTTTCAACATCAGGAGTGCCAGGATTGTAGAAACTACATGAACTGCTAAATGTTTACCTTCAGGTTGGTGATATACAGAAAATAAATATTATTTGTAGAAAACAGCTGCCACAGAGCCAGTTTCTGTCCCCAGACTGTCACTCTGATGAATACAATAACGACTTTGGGGTGTGGGTAATCAACTACTGTGAAATAAAATAACCACATTTGCTTTTCCACAACCTCCTGTCTTGTTTTTTTTTTTTTAGTTTCTCTGTAAATGTTTACTAATGGCTGTACATGTATACTGTTCCTTTAATCATTCATTGCATTTCCTCTATATATTTATACTAAAAGTCTAAGTCAGATTCCTTGTTTGAGTACACAGTCTTGGTCAATAAAGATGATTTAACTCTGATTTGATTGAATGGGAGTTTTTAACATTCGGCTACATTTTCTTTCCCTCTTAGTGGATCGTTTTATTTAGACACAATAAAAAGGGACAGAAATAGACTGACGTGTAAAAGTTCAATTGAACTACAATTTCCCACCTTCTCTGCATTTAAAACAGCCTCATTTTCCCGTGGCTGTAACTCACAGTGATAAATGATCTTCATCAGTAACGAGCAGGATCCGATAAATCCAGCATCTATTTCCAGAGTCCTTAGATGTCGCTGACTCGTCATCCTCTCTTCAACAGTTTCACACGCGTTCCTCCTCTTTAGAGCGGCTCCGCTGTCATCCTCTTAACTGCCTTGAACATGATTTGTTTTAGCATATTTTTGACAGCTGCAGAATCTGTTTGTTTCTCTCCTTTTCTAGGGAGGTAATTGCCACAAAAAAAGTGCTTTGTTAAAAATCATTCACATTTACAAATGAGTGAAGTGCCAATCTGCAGCACATCACGATATTGGACCATAAACGCCTGAAAATGTCTTAATAGCAGACGGTTGCATTCCTTTGATTATTTTTGGTAAATTACTGAAAGTATAAATGCACATTGCATCCAGAACCTTGAGGTCAAAAAACCAGCAGGTCTTTGCTGTTCCCTACCTAGTATTTTGTGTCTAGTTTCTAGTGCAAATAGCTTAGCAAACTTGAAAAAGGACAAAACTAACTTACAAGTAGCATTTTAGTGAGACGGAGAAGCTTGTTTTAAGAAAATAATTCCTTAATATTGATGAAAAAGTTCTAGTCCCATTGGCAGACTATTTAATTTGCAAGACATTTTTCCCATGTTACAAGTTAATTTATCTGCCAATAGAACAAGAACTTTTCCATCAATGTTAAGGAATTATTTACTTAGAACAAGCTTCTATATCTTGCTGAGAAGTTACTTTTAAATTAATTTGTCTTATTTTAAATGCAATAAGATATTTGCACAAGAAACTAGACCAAAACTACTTGGTGAGAGTTTGTGTTTTGCAGTGTTCTATCTGGATCAGCCTACCTCTCTACATTAGATCATTGATCATCCACTTTAATTAACTGATAAAAATATCTTTGAAATGAATTCTAATCACTGACTTTTAACCCTGTTAATAACCTGACTTTTTAAGTTTCTAATGTATTTTAGTCTGTTTTTTTTTTTGTCATCTATGCGTGTTGCAAAGCACTTTCTGCAGCTCTTGTTATAAAGTGCTACGTAAATAAAAATTAAATTGAAAAAATCTGTCAGTGTCGACGTATTTCTGGAGTCTGAAGTTCATCCTCCTTTAGCACAACAACTCAAAGCACAAAGCCAGAGAGCCACAGAGGAACGGTTTAGATAAACGTGTTAAAACGGCCAAGTCAAAGCCTGAATCCAACTGATAATCTATAGAAAATGTTAAAGAATTGAGCCCAGGGCTGCAGATTTAAAAACACAGATTGAAAAAGAAGTGTCACTATGAGGTATTCACATCTGCTCCCGAATGCCTTCATATGAATATATTTGACCTCATCTCATGATATTTTCCCCTCGTCCTCCAAGGAAATCAGGAACCATCTGGAGTAGTGTGTGTTTTTTTTTCTTGTTATTGTAATCATTCACCTCCCTGTAGGCTCTCAGTCTGACAGCTCTATTTTCTGACTGACTCCGGGGGATGTGTGAGGTCTTTAATTGGTTTTATACCTGGAGAGGAAACAAAAACTTTCCGACACATAGAGTGGCGCATGCTTCTCACAAGTTCAGACCGACGCTGTGCGGAAATGGGATTTAAAAACGTGGTTTTGCTTTGCATTTGCCGTTCTCACACTTTCTCAAGTGAGAGCAGGGAAGCTGGTCGAAGTAGATGGGAAGATGGCTGCAGCTCAAACACAGGACATTTGAAAACTTGTGGGAGGCTGAAAAAGACTCGAGATTCAATGGAGGTTCACCTTCTAGACAACAAACCCAAACATACAACCACAGCTGCAGTAAAATGATTTAAATCAGGGCATATTTATCAGTTCTGTTCACAGATGATCTCAATCCACTATGATTGAGTTTAAGCTTTTTCTACTAGGAGATAAAGACCAAAAAACCTTCTTCTCCAGATCTCAAAACACTTGCTGTTTTAATTACAGCAAAAATCCAAGTCAATATGACACTTTTTAAAAAATGTCTTTGCAAAAAATATAAAATAACAGCTCTGTTCTGCTCTCTGGTGGTTTCTATAATGCTGAGTTTTCTCCTCAGACTGTTCTTAAAAGAAGCCCTTTGTCTACCTGCAGCTATTATTAGATCACCACTGAACGCTCAGTTTGGTTTAATCTTAGTCACTATATGACTTTACTTTGAAATTGGGGCGGACTGCATGGAGTGTTACAGATGAGTGACTGTGGAAAACAACCACACACAAAATCTTGGATATGTTTGGAGTCTTTGTTGCGTCTCTGCACCATCAAGACGATGGTTTAAACGGTCGATTTTTTATTTTTTAAACCAAAGCCTGATTTAAATTTCGTCACATCATCACGTCTGGCCTCTAGAGACTGGGCTTTATTTTGGGGGGTCTCAGATTAAAAGGGGGGTTGAATACAAATGCATGGGAGGTGTGTCAAGATTTTTATTTGTGCAGAACAAATGACCGTGTGTCATTTTCCTTCTCCTACAAAACCCGTTCATCTCAACTAACCTCGTTTAACCACGTGGAGACACTTTGATAATGACCATAATGATCTACCGTGCTTGGTTTGTGTTTAAACACAAAAGTTCACCTTTTCTGGCCCCTGGAAGCAGATCCTGCACTGCTGTGCTTGCACCCCGCTCTCAGAGAGACTCGGCAGGGAGGACGCCTCCAGACCTCCTCCTCCTCCTGCTCCCTGGGGTTTGTCTCCTTCTTTATCCTCGGAGGTCAGGCTGCGTGGCCGGGGCCCGTAGTACTCCTCGTCGTCGTCACGGTGGGAGCAGCTCATCTGTGGCCAGCCACAGCCTGCGATGGTGAAGCCTCTCATCCTGCTCTGCTCTGGGTCTGTGCCTGGGTCAGTCCTCCGGCTGCTCGAATCCGAGTGCATCAGCAGCAACACTTTGAGTTCACTGAAAACCGTTCCAAGACGGTACTTGAACATGTCTCAGAACCTTCACAGCACAGGCACAGCCCCCCCTTTTTTTTGTTGTTTATTTAAAACATCATAATTATTAGTATTAGTATTAAGTCTACTATTGTGGAATTTATCACAGTAAGCAGTTCACATCTTGCTATACTTAAAAAACTACAAAAAAAAGCATGCTCGAAACATGATAGGCTGGTAGATCAGCCCATGGCTCTTTGCATATCCTGTTGTTATAGCATGTGCACTGCAGTCTGACCAATGAGGAAGAGTTACTGTTTTTCTTTATGGATGGAGGCGTTTTGTATCGGGATTCAATTACAGAGCTCTAAACCAGGAGCCCAGAGCTGCTTAAAGTCAGAATGGAAAGGTCCAGCTGCGGTGCAGCAGGTCCAACAGGACCCAGTACAGGTTCTGAGTGACAATGAGGAGCTGTCCAAGGTGTTATCCTCAAAATATACCCTGTCTGAATAAGAAAATCAATACGGGTCTTGAAGGGAGGTCGGTCGTCAATAAAAACCCCACTTATTGAAGGCATTTATGTTTTTCATTAGGAGGAGGTGAGCAGCTTGTGGGAGTCCTTTGTTTCTCCGCGGTGGCATCCATCAACTCCCCTGCTGTCTCTGCGGGCTTTGTCCCACACCTCGTCCTCCTGAAGCAGCTCCCGATCGCAAAGTTTCTGGTTTTAAATGGGTTCCGTTTTATCCAAGCAGCGAAGGAGCGTTGGACGTCGGTTCAGCGTCAACTCTTCGCCCAACCATCCCGGCGCCGCAAGCAGAGAAGACGGATGAGAGGAGGTGAGAGCAGGACTCCTCCGAACACGAAATAATGTGCCGAAATTACGCAGCAGCAGCGATCCATGGTGGCTCGGTTCAAACAGCCGCGCACCATCCTCAGCAACACAGACCCTCTTCACAAGGTGAAATCCCGACGCGACTCGGTTCCTTACCCCACAGGGTGCTGACAACGAGTCTCCATCTCCTCCAAACAGGAACTTCCTTCCTCAGCCATGAAGCCGCCGCTCGCTCCATCCTCTGTGGGCGGTGTGAGGCTGGAGCTGCTGTCCAACGTGCTGATATTCACGTGACGTGTTAGCCACGTGCTCGTTCATCCAACACATTATCAGAGACGAACAGTGTTTGCTACAACACCTGCAAGCTGTCGGGAGGTTCGGCGTGCAAGCCAGCATGTGGAGGGGTTTAAATAAATTAGAAGATTGTCTAAAAGTTTTATTTGAATACTTGAGTTTAAAAAAAAATTCATACTCANGCTAATCAGAAAGCAGCTACTCCAAATGTGCTGTGTTCTTAAACTTCATCGGTGCAGACATGGTGCTGCGTGGTGTGACATGAGATGAAAAAAAAAAGTAAATTTATGGTCATTGCAACAATATTTGTGCTGTATTTAAATCTGTGGAAAATAAGTGCAGCAATTATGTAGTTTACAAGTTTGTGGTTTTGTGGGTAGAAACCCAGCAAAACTGACGCAACATTTTAAACGGTCTACGGCTTCCCCAAGTTGAATGCAGTTGTGCCTATCCACCATCTGCTGTCGTGAGCTGTGGAGATTTTGAATGAATAGAGGATAAATCGCCCCAAAGAAATCTCCTTCCCTTCCAGTGTGGCTAGCAAACGCTATGAAAGCAAATATATCTCTGGTGTCTGACTGTAGCCATAACAGAAGACTGCAAACTTAACTCATGTGCTCAGTTTCACTGGATAAGCAAGCATGACTATGCTGTATGATTAATGTTTTGTACTGCTTTTTTGTTTCGTACCGCTGAGCCAGCCTTTTGTTTTACGATTTGGTTGCACACAAAAAGTACCAAGTTTCATTCATTGAGCCCAATTTTGTTGGCTGGGATCCGTGCGTGAACATAATATTTTGTCTATTGCTCCAGTGTGTGTTCTGTTTTTTTTGTCATGTGTTCCCACAGTATCGCAGACAAATGGACACCCAGATTTTCTCTCACCTTTGTGTGAGCAGTCCAGCAGGAGCCTGGGATATTTGAGATGACAAATGGACACGGCGTCTGTCCGAACTATGGGACGCCCTGGCTGGGGTTCCTCCGGCCTGTTGTCCTCGGCACACAGTAAGTCCGCTGTCAGCTTTTTTAGCTTCTGGCCCTTCAGAGAGCGAGGCTCGGCACACCTGGCGTAGTTGCCCAGGTTTCGATTGCTGGGCACCTGCAGGGTCCTGACCAGGCTGTCGAGCGGGCAGCGGCAGCTCCAGGGGTTGTCGAAAATCCGGAGGTAGGTGAGGTGGGGGAGCGGGAGGAGGACCTCCTCTGAGGCTGACCTGATGCGGTTGTGCTGGAGGAGGAGGGTGGTGAGCTGGGAAAGGCCGCTGAACGCGTCGTCTTCGATCACCGAGATGACGTTCTGCTGAAGGTCCAGGCTCTTCAGCTGGGTGAACTGCTCGAACATGTTATCCCGTAAAATCTGAGAGGGGGGTGGGAAAAAAAAGCCACAAACATCTGTGATTAAAAGCAAATCCATAAACCTTTGAATTGATCTGCAAGCCTAAGGATTTATTTGCAGAGGCTTGTGCTGATCAAGCTTGCTTTTAAAAAAGAAGTGCATCTTTCTTGTCTAAAACTTCACCATCTCTGACATTTTGGACTTATTAGTGAACCACTGATGATGCATCTATAGCCTGGAAACATATCACACTTTCATTTTAGAGGGTAGACGACGCTACATAATGTCAAGCAAAAGCAGACAAAACAGGTTTTAGTCCATCCACCTCAATTCTACTATCGATTGTTCAAATAAAAGATTGATGCCACACGTCTTTATGCCTTACCCATGTGGCAAAGCTTTTATTTTCGCCACCTGTGGCACACACATTCCCCACGAAAGCCCTCATGGCGAATGTGTTTTTGATCTCGGGGCCCAAATAAATGGTGCGCAGATGGCCGAAAGTATCAACAAACAGCGCAGGTTTTATTTTCCGTTTAAAACAACTAACTCAGGAAAAATGCCCTGTGTTTTGCCGGGCAGAATTAAAGCGAATGTTTCTCGGAAACTCCTCATTTAGTTTTTAAGATCCCAATATAACTAAAAAGCACGTCTGCTGAATCGTCGCTGTGCTGGCTTTGCAGCTGCGTCTGCAGTCCGTTTTGAGCTGTTCTCTTTATTTTGAGCTTCATTGTGCTTGAACAGAACTTGCCGTTCGACTGAAGGGCGTGCAGTTTTGGAACGTTTTTAAGATTTGTCGTTAAATGTGAAATTTGTGTTCTCCTGCTTTTCTAGATGAGTTGAAATCTGCCTCCACACACCTGAATCTTATTTCTGGCCAGCAGAAGATGTTGGATGTCTTTGGGCCAGTCCTGCCTCACAAAGGTCAGCTGCGTGTCCTGGCAGTCCAGGTACTTCTCCCCGGCCTCCATGTACTCCTTGCATTCCTGAGTTTGACGCCTCATGACGCCGGTCCTTCCTTTGCCTCGGACGCGACCCCTGGTGCCCCTCTCTGTGGCCTTTGACCCCGGAACTCTCCAAGGTTCAGCCGACCCAAGGATCAGCAGGAGGAGAACTGCGGTAAGGAGATGCATGGCGGGGGAGGTGAGGAGGGTTCTCTGTCACAAAAAATGTTGGAGGGACACAGGAGGCCGGTCAGAGCTGTACATGCAGAAACAGACAAAATGGAGAACAGGAGGATGTTGGTGAAAAGGTCAAATGTCGTTGCATTTGTGCCTATTGAATCAAAAGAGCATACAGTGCAAAACACTTAAAAATGAAAAGAAAATAAAGGCATTCTTGTTGAAACTTTTTTTTTTACAAAACAAGAATGTTTCTCTTGCTTCTCAGACGCTAGAGAAATGTCTAGTTTTTAATTAGAAACTATAAAATGTCAAACAAAGAGATCCAGCTTTACAAGAAACACTTTTAAGGATTTTGTAACGTTACACTTGTTCCTAACAAGTGTTTGTTTTGCTACTTATTTATATTTGTCATTAATTTATGTAAGAGCTTTACTCCTTTGGGTTTTGATTTTCATTTGTGTTTGTGTTTTTTATTTATTTTACTTATTATTGCTTGTAAGGTTTTGCCATATTTGATTCATTATTGCATGTTGCCATATAGGCTCATTCCTTTATGTTTAGTTTCTTAGGTTATGCTTGTGTTCTGCGTTTTGTATTTATTTCTCTCGGATTGATTTTCAGTCTTTTCCCCTTTTTGATTCTGTGGCCTTTGGGCCCCTGTTGAGTTTCTTCTATGTTTTTCTGTCTATTTTTCATATTCCTTTAGTCAACCTGTTTGCCTTCTGTCGCAGCTGCACCCGGTTTGTCATCAATCACCTGCCTCTTCTCAGCAATCGCACTCCTCAATATTTTAGCCTCTCCGTTTCCTTCATTCCCCGCTGGATTCTGGTGACATGCGTGACATGGTTCAGTTCTGTAACTCTCATTATTTTACAATTCCTTCTTTAAAGTGCTACATTTTCGCCAGAGTCCGTCTTGAATTTCACTTTTTGTCCTCTTTAGTCCTGAATATGAATCCTAGATGTTCTTTCCTAGATTAAAAGAGATTTTGTGGATATTCTGTGTTAAAATCATTCATACCCGTTCTGCATGACCAACATCTCTGTGAAAGATGTGCAAAAATCTGCAATCATACTAATCTTTTAGTGCAGTTGCATAACACAGTTTAATGAAAATGTCAAAAGCTTTATGCACACTCACTGCATAACACTTCACTTTTGAAATAAAAGGATATCGACTCACCTGAAGTTTGCTTCTGAACATGTAGACAACTGATCTACCCTGAAGAAATATATTTGCACACCCAAATAGTGAAGGGGATTTTTGAGGCAGCATATTATGCTGTTGAATTTCTTGCAAAGAGAAGTTTGAAAACCTACAACTAAAATGAACTCGTAACGGATAATTTACCTCAATTTTATTTGATGACTACTTTGGTCTCCTGCTTTACTGCCTTCTCTTGAGCCGTTTAAAATCTCCCTCCACACCTCGTCGCTTCGACATAGGAAATAAGGCAGTTGGCGATACTGCTGAACGCTTTATTTAACGGGCAAAGTTAGTTTTTCAGACAAGATCTCCAAGGCTGTCGAGAAACACGTCGTCCAGACACAGACACACATGCTTGGTTTGACTCAGTCCAACTCCAGCAAACCACAGTCCTCCTACCGTCTCGCACAGTGGAACAACACTGTCAATGCAGATGGTTTGCTTCCATTGGGAATAACAGGCTGGATGTGTAAGTTACACAGAAGCAGCTGAGAATGTGTCTGTATGCACTTTCCGTTTCTCTAGGGATTGCCCACCTGTCCGACTATATCAATCACCTCAGTGGTTGCAAACCTCATCGTTCAACTCCTTTTTGTATGAGCTTGACTGTAATGAAGCTGCTGTAAGATGCATTGTGTATTTAAGGCTTTTGCTAGTACAAACTCCAGCATAGACCAAAGAGTGAAAAGGTCCAGCTGAGGCTGCATGTTAAATCTTGGTTTAAGAAGCAGATTCCTAGTCTGTGAACAGTGCTCTGGTTGTAGCCCTGTAAGGGCAAAGTCTCGATTAAATACTGGCACTGTAACCTTTTTCTTTGTTCGACAGGTCAATGATAAGATTGTTTACCAAAGCATTCAGACCAGAAAAAGACACCGTCGCGTTGCAGTAGTCTACAAAAATTCTTGTTCCACAGCCACCCCTTAAACTTGTAATTGTAGACTTGTTTGCTGATTTACAAGGCACAGGCCTGCATCTTTAGCCAAATGAGAAGCTGTGGCGCTATGAACCTGCCAGAATCCACTGGTTGCCTGTGCAGCCAAAGAGCTGAAGTCCTTATGTGCCTGGTTTCTATTGGAAAGAGAAACTTTTGTTGGAAGTCTCTTTTTTTTTTTCTTTTTTTTTTTAAAGTGTTTTATCAAGTGTTTACATATGGAATCAGAAAAATAGTTTTCCGAATCTAGTTCACATGATACTCGCCAACATGCTACTTCCAGTCCACGTCATTTGTTTCAGACGTTTTATAAGGATAAATTTGTCGGTACATTAAAATTCTATAAAGTGTCACTTTCTGCAATTAATCTTGCAAGCACAAAATGTAAGTGGTCTTAGTGTTGTACCCTGCATCATCTCTATTCTGCACAAAGATCTAAAACCTAGAAATGCAACATGGATGCTGCATTTGCATGTGCATACTATGATTGTTGGTGCAAAATCTTTGCTGTGTGGCTAATAAGTGTTTGATAATGATTTAAATCATCGGTTACATGAGTAGCAAATTAGCCCATAGCATACCACATCCTCAACCATGCTTACCTGGTAAATTTGGCACTTGTCATGTGTGTTTCGGTAGATTTATAACCCTGTAAAGTGATGTTGGGTAATTGTTCAATTCTTAATCTTATGGTGCAAAAGTAGCCTCGTCAGGTTATTATTTGTTTTGTTTTTTTCCTATTTTCCATTCCGACCTCCTTTTGTCATTCAACCAAGGTCGGGTACTGCTTTTAACACATCCACGAGAACAATCTAGACCCGACTTTCTGCAGTGATTCGCTTTAGCTCCTTGCCTTTGTTTCCAGACCAGAAGGATTTCAAAGTCCTGCCAACGAGTTGTGGGTCTGCCGCGGGGTGTGTTCCCTTTGGAATGAGCTGGGAAAACCTTCAGAGGAAGGAATCCAGGACACGTCCTATTCAGATGGACCTGTAACTCTAAACCCTGGCTGCCCTCTTTAGCATGACAAACCAGAGTAGCTCCGTCAGCATTCACCGCTAATCGTCTCTCCTTAATGCAAGAAGTTCATTGCATCACATCATGTTTTGTTTACTTTTTTGTCATGTTTTTTTTTTTTTAACACATCCTTAAAATCTGTGACCTTTATCGGAAGTCCATCTCTTTTATGAGTACCTTAGCCACAGTCTGTCTGCAGTCTCCACTGCACATAGCTGTGCCCCAACAAACCAACGCAGGCCAAACCCATCCATGTGATTCACCCTAACCTCGTGGCTGTGCCAAGCCTCAATTGGCCCTCTCAGCCTAGCATTAAATCCCACCCAATGTACCAAGGATGAGCCTATGCTGACCCAAAGCATTCTCAGTTTAAAACTCATAGTAGGAATCCCTCACGGTTGCGGTCAGGTATTTCCTCAGGAACAGTTTTTGTTTGATCCCTCCGCCTGTCCTGAACCAGAATGACCTTTGGACGTTTGGTCTGGACCTAAAAATGTGGTAGCAACATGTCTCAGCTCGGATGACGAAAATAAACCTGTGGGAAGAAGACTGAGAAGTCTTTGTGAAACAGACAAAAAGGCTGGGGAAAAGGGAAAAAAAACACTTCCTTTGTGCATCATATTTAATTCTTAACGACAGCTTACTTATGCAAACGCTCATGGACACAGGCATGTTGCGGGAAAAGCGAACAATGAAAAAGAAGAAGAGAAAAATGGAACGTAAACGCAAAAGATGCTCAGTATATTTCGTTTTGAACGTCTCAGTGAGCCAAAGTCTCTTTCATCACCAGACTAAAGGACACATAGACGGCTTGCCCTCCTCATAGTGTTTTACATGCTTGTAAGTCGGCAGAAACGAGGAGTGTTCAATTTCAGCTGTTTTATTTTCTACAGTGACTGTAGAAAAACTAACAGATTGCCTTTGATCAGTGTGCAGCTCTGGCGACGGACTGTAATCACAATTTTGTAAGCTTGTCAAAGTTGTGGCTCCTCAACGTCTGAAGTCCAGATCTACAACGTTACCGTCTTCTGCTTTTCATACTACATCATCAAGTCGGGACATACATGATACGCACATACCAAATTACAGACCAAGCATGTCAAAGACACTCCGATTCTGCTTCCAAAATTAAGGGAAGTACCTTGCAAGAACCATAAAACTTTTCATCTGTCTAAATTTATTCCAGGAGTCTGGAGACTGCACAATTACTGACCGCATTTGTAGCCCTAAAGCAGTATCTACGTACGAGTAACCTTGAGAGTTCAGGCATCCAGCAGGAAGAGTTCGGAAAACAGAAGGATCACTGTTATGAGAGAGAGAGAGAGCAAGAACAAGAAGGGGAGGCTATAAAAGCAAGACTCAGGGATTTCTTCTGCATGCAAAAAGAAAAAAAAAGAGAACAAATTCTTACTCCCATCCAAGTAGCATGCTCAATCAATCTCTGTTATTCAGTCAAGCTGTTAACTGTAGAAAAGCAAACAGGGAAGCAATGAAAATTTGTAAGAATGAAGCTAAATTGCATCCATGTCAGTTCAGCCTCCTTTTTATATTTATGTGGGGTATGCCTCCTATGTGTGTGCTTTAACTTCAGGATGTCATCAATCGGAACAGTCTCGAATTTCTTTTTATTTTGGGATTTTAAGTGACAGACCGAAGCTTTAAAAGATTAGTTAAGACTGAAGTGGAAGGATAATAATCTAACGATCCTTACTCCAAACCAGTCATCTTCAGAGATGACCAGCTTCTAGACTTTGACTTCTGGCATGTTTTTCCTCCCAGGTTTTTTCCCCCTTATTCATCGCCATCCATCTTCCCATCGTCTCTGAATAGGTTTGGTCTTCTCAGCCCGATGCTGCCACCACCACGTTTCACTGAGAGAATGGCGTCTCATCTGATCAGGGCATCTTGAGGTTAGCTGCAAACTTACCCCAAGCGTCTTCTGGATTTTTATTTTTTTATTTTTCCCTCCATCCAGCTTCTTCATAAGGAGCAGATTTATGGAGTGCGTGACTAACGTTTGTCCAAACAACAGATTCTCTCCGCAGCCAAGCAGATTTATGCCTCTTGGCTCCCTTCTCTGACTATTGCCCCTCTCGCCTCGGCCTGTCTGTTTATGTAGACACCCAGGTCTGAGCAGGTTTGCAGTTGAGCCATGATGTTTCACGTCTTGCGTTTTGTGGTGCCGTTTATTTCGTATTCTCTTAACAAATCTGAGGCATTAATAGTACAGCTGTGTTTGTAATGAGAGGAAATCTTACAAAGGTGGGATTTACATGGCTGCAATGGGTATTGGAGCTTATCAAAGCACAAATGCATGCAACAGATTTTAATTTTCTTTTTTCTTTTTTTTTTTAAAGTCTTCATCTTTATATTTATCCAGTACTTTTAAGGATACAGAACATGTTCTGTGTATTAATAGAGCTGGGAAGAGAGAGTGCCTCTTACATCCCTGAGAGCCTAATTGAAACCAGAAAGGTTAACCTCTGCAGCAGAGCGAGAAAGAGAGTGGAAAAAAAAAAGGTTTAAGAACAGAAAATGACACTTGAGTTTTTCACTGAGGTTCAGAGGGGTTGAGCACACAAAAACAAACAGCGGAGGGTGGACCTGACTGGTGAAAACATGCCAAAGTGCTTGGCTTTGCATCGAAATCAGATTTCCATTTTTCTGGCTCCGGGGGTACTGTAAATCTCGGCTCTTTCACGTCGGCGTGGATCATTAGTAACCAATGTGTGCTTATAGGTCCTGTGTCTGTCAGTCATTTGAGCACTTTGAAAACATAATTTATCTCCCTTTAGCTGGCCGTCTTTCCATCGGAGATCCAAACCTTCCTTCGAGCTGCCTCATTAAGACTCGCGGAGATGAAAAAGCCGTGACGCGACGCTAAACAGACACCACGTCCCCACCCGCGCCCCCAGCCGCACAGCTATGTCGACTGCTTTGGCTCCGTGCCAGACATCTGCGTGGTAAACGCACGCGAAATAAGTGCTTTCTAACCAACGTAGCTGTGGGCAAGCTGAAACAGCTGAACGCTCCGAGAAAAAGGGGCTTCTGCTCTTTAACAATCAGGGAAAAATTGCAAGTTAAGCAAGTTCCCCCTCCAGTTTGACTTGGTACAGAATCCCAGAGTGAAACCACATGGTGCTCCAGTTTCACCCAGCAAGAGCTTGGGATCTTTCTGAAAACAACAAAGCGGCGTGTAACTCTCTGGGGTGCCATCACGCATACGACTGTGCAGTAAAACGTGGAGCAGCATTGGCTTGGATTATATCTAAAAAGCAGAGAAGCGCATAACCAAAATATATTACTAATATTAATATTGCTGATATTATTATTATGCAAGAGAATAGTGTTAGCTTGCTGCGTATACGATGAACATGAGTCATCTGGAGTGCACTCTCATCCAGAAATGCTCTCTTACAGTATGAAGCGATTCCAATTGGAAAAGTTCTAACTGTGACAAATGAGATTCTTAGCTCCGTCTGTCATGGTAGTTGAAATAGAGCACTGTGTAATTGGGTAACAAAATAAATAGGCAAGTCCTTTTTACAACTCTTCAAGTGAGAAGAAAATCTAGTCCAGAAATTCTGCAAGCAGGAAATGAATCAAATGCAAACTCTTGCAAAAATGCTTGGTAATGTAAATTTTGGCTGTTAATGCTTGTGCAAAATGCCTCGTACATTTCTTTCTTTTTTTTTTTTTTTTTTACTTGCACACACATTTTTAACATTTAAGCATTTAAATTGCCACATAATCCATTTTCAACTCCACTGCAATTAGTCCCAAGCAACCCAAAGATGTAATGAAGCAAAAATCTTAAGATAAGGATAAATTGCTGTGACTTTGCATTAGTACTTGGGGCTGTACCATGCCAGCTTTTTTTTTTTTTTTTTTTCCTCTTTCAATTTATTTTTTATCAAGTTTGTTGACTCATGACTGAGCAATAATTACAAGATTAGCTGCCGTTTGTCAGCTGGGTAACTTCAGCACACACTCCAGACGCATTTCTGTGGAGTATTAAAAGTTTCAGTCCTACCCGTGCAGGGTGAGAATCTGGCCCGGGTTCGTCTACTAGAACCTGCGGATCTCCGGTTGGTCCAGTGTCCCAGGCTCCTAATCCTGTCATGAGTGCTGCATCCAAGCCAAGAATATCGGCCCGGGCTGCTGGAGCACCTTGGAGTGAGGGACGAAGATTGGCTCTCTTTCTATCTCTCTTTTGCTCTCCCTCTCTCTGTCTCCTTCGCTCTCTTCTCCTCTTCCTTTTCACCCACTCAGCTGGAATCACATTGTGAGCTGTGGAGCAAAAACCGATCCTCATAGGAGCCACAAGGCTGTCTCTGGTTTAACATTACACACACACACACACACACCCACACACAAACTCCTGACACACGTGTGGGAGGGCTGCAGCCCTTTATTGGTCCCCTCTGTTTAACCGGTGAACTTACTGCAGGATGTGTTGCTAACTGGCCTGACAGACTGAATAAAAGACAAATAAAGACTGAGCTCCTGGGTGGCAAAGCAGCAAAAAAAAAAAAAGCTCCTCACACAGACACCCTTCTGCACACTTGTCTTGTCTTGCCTACTTTTTGGTTGTGTTAAAGCAAAAAGTGCTGGAGAAATGCTAGAAATATTGATATGCTCACTGAGACTCAAGCCACTCTGTTTTCCAATAATTGGATATGAACTAAACCCCTAATAAAGATCTCAGTATGCATGCATACAGGCAACAGTGGTTTTGCAAGATTGAAAAAGGAAAAGAACTGATGGACGTTTCTGTTAAAATGTGCAAATGCTTGCTGACTAGGGGTCAATTTCAGTTTCCTGTTTATCTGTGACAATTCTTAAAAGCTTTGCTTTTACTTTACACTTTGTGTTCAGTGTATTTCAAAATCCAGTTGAAATAGACTGATGGCGGTTGTATTGTGAAAAAGTACGGAAAATATAGTCTGATTGTTAAAATGTGATTAACATAGTTGGTGAAAATGTTAATGATTGAAAACGGTGCTTTGTCAGATTGAGAGGTTGCATTATTAATTTTGTTACATAGTCATAAACATGTTCCCTTATGTTCTTGTGAAGATGCAACCAAAAACCGAATTACTCCACTGAACCTTCGCTATTAAATCAAACAGTTTGAAATAGCTTTACGTTACTTAGTCTTTGCTGGTTAGCATAGAGGTGAAATTAGCATTTAGCTCAAAGTACGCCGTGTAGCTGCAAACCATCACATTTTGTCTCGTATTTGAATTCTAAGTTCAGTAAGAGTTTAATCTCGTGAAATAAATGCTTTGACATTTTTATTGGAAGCCCTTTCTTACTTGAGCTTGTTTACATTCCTCCATTTCTTAAATAAGTCTGATCCGTGCGAGGCAATAAAAGATGGCGGCCAAACCGTGTCAGCCATTCACAGATGACATAAATGAGCTGTTAAGTTTGGAGCAAACAGCTAAGGAGTATTGTAGCAACTACTAAGGAGTATTACATGAAGGGAGACAGGGAGCCCTGATAATCACCCCGTCTTTTTCCTCTCCTCTGCACCATCACAAAGAGCAACAGCTCCATATTAGGATTACTACCGAGCTGACTCTTGAAGGGGGGGGGGGTTGTTCACCGCCAAACGCACCAAAACAACTGTTTTCAGTAGTCGGGAGGAGCCAGCACAGAGTCTGGGGGCTGGAAATAAAAACCTAGCTTGTGTTTGGCTGTATTTGATTTCAAACACGCGAAACATGTCTGAAAGCATTTGTTTGTCCTCTGTCAGAGATGAGCGAGACAGCTGGACACTATGCTTTCACATTGAGCTTTGACCAGTATATGCGTTGTTTAAGTGGAAAACGTTCCATATGCCAATATTGGTAACGTCCAGGTCTGTTTTAGTGTGTTCAATGTGTTTTGACACCTACGTGTAGGTTTAAAAATTGATTTTAATAATTTTTCTTCATTAACAGAAGTTGCAGTGTTGCAAAGCAACCTGGGAGGTTGAAAATCTGTCCAGGAGCCAACGTGAATCATCGTAATTGAAGAGCGGTTAACAGTCATGTCATGTAAACATAAAAGCAACCTTCTAATTAGAATGAAGCTGTATTTCCTTCGTGCTCAGTAAGCCTGACTGGAATTTCCCCAAGATATAAAAACATGCTTTATTCTTCTGCATGCAGCTGCATGCTATATTCTAATGCGATCCAATGACCACAAATTCAATAT